TTGGTTCCCAGCACGTATTCTGAGAGGCTCACCTCCTGTAACTCTAGCTCCAGGGAATCTGATGCCCTCTTCTGGACTGTGCAGGCACCTGCTCTCACACACGCACATATCTCTACACACACAAACACACACACACACACACACAAATTAAAAATAAATCAAACCTTTAAAAATAGTTTAGAGTTATTTTATTTAAAGAACTGTGTAGATATCTATATACCATGACAGAAAATTTCTCTATTAGGGAATTTGGACTCAAGAAGCTTAAATGTAAGCCTTAGTCCTGATATTTGCTAGGGGACCCTGAGAAAAGTAAGCTAATCTTTCTAAATCTGTTTATTTATAAATGGGGACAGTATTTACTGGCCTCCAAACCTCATAGGTTCATGCAAAATTTAAATGGAATAGTATACATAAAAAAACTTGTGTTAAACAGGGCAGTTGCACAAATGAACTCACAGTGGCTTTGACAGCATTCATAAAACCTGCTCAAGCCAGACAAAATTCCAGCATGGAGGGGGGAGGTGGGCATGAATTCACATCTAGCTGAGGAGCAACCAGCAACTGATAGCTGCTGGGAAACAGAGAGTCGGTTTTATTTAACAGTGTGGCCCCTGGTAATGTCGACCATGCTCCAGTGGATGGCCACACTCGCAAAGCACAAGAATATATAAGCATCCCAAACTGGACTTGATGGGTTTTAAAAAGAATGAGGACACAAAGTTAGGTAGGTAGGGAAGGCAGTTGGATCTGGGGTGAGTTTGGGGGGATACGATCTCACTGTATGAAATTGTCAAAGAATTAATAAAAGTAATTTAAAAATATTTTATTATTTTAATTTTAACTCATGTATATGAGTGTATTCCTGCATATGTGTAATGCACCCATGTTGTGCAACACCTACTTTGGTCAGAAGAGGGCATCGGATGCACTGGAACTGGAATTACGGACTGTTGTCAGCCTCCATGTGGGCACTAGGAATCGAACCCAGGTCCTTTGCAAGAGCAGCCAGTGCTCTTAACTGCCGAGCCTTCTCTCTAACCCCAATAAAAATATTTTTTAAAACTTGGGTTAACTTTAAAATTACTCATAAATGTGAGCTACTGCTGACAGGAGCAGGATGCCCTGCTGTGCACCCCCAAAGGGAGGTTTACTTCGGACTACTGTCCACAAGTGCTCCTGGTGGACTTGACTACTTTTTACATCTATGAGGGTCCTGAATTATTCTGAGGAATGACCAATCTTTCTGTCATGCTCTTTTGCCCTGAACTTGGCTGGCCCTTTTGCTCAGTGACCAGCCAACTGATTCTTGAGGCAACACCCACCAGTTCAGCTGAAAACTATTACAATCCTTTTTCAGGAAATATTTTATTTACTTTTTTTATGTATATGAGTATTTTGCCTGCTTTTATATTAAGTGCACCACGTGTGTGCAATGCCCATGGAGGCCAGAAGAAGGAGCTGAATCCCCTGGAACTAGAGATAAAGATGTTATTAGCTACCATATGGGTGCTGCAAACTGTAGCCAGTCCCTCTATAAGAGTAGCCAGTGCTCTTAACTGATGAGCCTTCTCACCAGCTCCAATCCTTTTTTTAAACCTAGGAATTCTTTTTAAAAAATATTTAATATTTAATTTTTATTTTGTGTGTGTGTGTGTGTGTATGTGTGTGTGTGTGCATAATGCCTTCATGTGTAAGTGCAACCAGGTCGTGCAAATACCCTTGGAGGTCAGAAGAGGGCGTCAGATTCCCTGGAACTGAGTTATAGACAGCTGTTAGTGGTTATGTGGGTGCTGGGAATCAAACCCCAGTCCTCTGCAAGAGCAGTCAGTGCTCTTAAGAGCTGAGCTATCTATCTAGCCCCAAACCTAGGAATTCTTAAAGATATAGTTGGTTGAGGAATGGGAACTCCTCCTGAAAATAAAGGCAAATCTCACTCCTAATACATGATTTTCCATAGTTCTTCTTCTTTTTAAAACAACAACAAAATCCCAAGAAACAAGTTCTTATTATGTAGCCCAGGCACCTAGGCACAGAAGCCCTTACCTGTCTATCTCAGCTACCCATGTGTTAGGGTTACGGTGACACCACCCCTAAGCATCATCACCTTCTCCTTTTCATTTTTGCAGCGCTGGGGATTGAACCCAAGGTCTTGAGCATGCTAGGTAAGAGTTCTACCACTGACTGAGCATGCCTGTAGCAACAAGGCGCTTTCATTGATGGGAAACAAACAGACTTTGCGCTCATGTTTTGAATGGCATTGGAACAAGCACAAGAAATCTTTTGATAAAAACACTCTACTGCATGTCCAGAAGAGGCCTCCCCCTTTCTGTTTCTCTTTTCATGCTTTCTGTTTCTTTGTTTCTGCCCTAAGAGAGGCAAAGGGTTCAACGTGATTGATTTTAAGAAAGCGGTAAAGGATGAAGCTGCTGCCACAGCAAATACCCTCATACACCTTAGATTTTCCTCTTAGACTTACAGGAAATAGAGTGTGGAAAAAGAGTGAATCAAGAAATTAAAGCAATTGCCCTAAACTGCTCTGCCCCCACTGGACTACTGCTCTGTGACATAGCAGGTGCTAAAGACTTGTTAGAGAAAATGAGTGAACTTTATTTAGTCAAGAAAAGGAAGTGCTTTGTGCCTAGCTCCAGGGACTCTTGGGCCATGTTGGAAATTCCATTAATAGAGTGATAATAATGTCAAGTCACGTTTTTCTTGGTCCAACAATTTTGTGAGACATTTAATAACAAATGTTTAATTTATAGAGAAAGGAGTTTTCTCTTCCATCTAACACTGTTTGGAAGGGTAGATAAAGAACCACTTATCTCTCATCTGTCCATCATAGATATGGGAACAGAAAATTGGAATTTCTCTGGGCATAAAACTATTTGCACACAAACCTCTGTTTTCATCAAGAAAAAATAAAAAACAAATGGAATCTTTCAAACAGCAAACACAGTAATTGTTGAAAGCAAAAGGTCACGCTAGATTAGTTTTATTGGGGGGGAAAAAGGAAGTGATAAAAGCTCTTTCTCTTTTCCTAAAACTAATTAAAGAAGTAGATGAAAGAACTTTGGTGTGGTAAACATGCAATTCACTGAAGCAGGCTTCTATTTAATTTCACGCTGGTTTACTTAATTATTGTACAAAATTCAACAGTGAGGCTAGTAAACTTGTGTGAGTGTGAATGTGCATGTGCATTGGCGCAGAGATTGAAATCTCCCTGAAAAAGCGGAAACATCTCAGATGGAGATGACCAGCAGCAACCCGGATCACATCTGCATCAGGGCGACTCCTCTGCTTTGGGTGTAATATTTATGCTTGGATGATCTTTCAGGAGAAAACATTCTCAGTGTCTACACCAACAGGCTGAAGGATACATATTTTGATATTTCTATTGACTGGGCTATGGATACTAAAAGCTTGACCATTTTGCCTGTTTCTTATTTGAAGTCAAAATGACTGAAATGACATCAGAGAGCAGATCTTGGTGGTTCTCCACTCTTGTGTTCTGCCGTTCCCTCACTTCCCAAACTAGGCAGCCTTTCTGGGCTTTAGTGATCTGTTCCTAACAGGCTGGATGAGAAAGGGTGCTCTGCTATTACGCATTAAATAATTTTTAGAGGCTAATATATTCCCAATATGGTGAAAATCCAGATCCATTTATAAATCAGCTTAGAATTGACCACACCCACGGGAGGGCAAGACGGCTCAGAAAGGTGCTTGTTATACAAATATTGATGACTTGTGTTCAATCCCCTGAGTCCATGTAAAAACCTGGATGCTATGGTGCACATCTGTAACTCTGGCACTCCTATGAGATGAGAGGCAGAGACAGGAAAATACCTTAGAAATTCATGAGCCAGCTCACCTGGCAGAAACAGTAAGAGAGACCTTGCTCGACAGGAGGAAACTTATGCCTTGTACTGTAAACCTGGCTGAGCATACATGGTTGGAGAGCTCATAGGCTCCAAGAGTCAACCTACTACTATTATTTTGCTAAATGGGCATAGCATCAAACTGCCCTCTAAGTTCTTATCTCTCTACCCATAGATTAGTGCAACTCTCAAACCTTATCAGAGAAGTTTCTTTGTGCAGTGGGTGGTGGTTAATGCAGAAACTTACAACTGGTCAAAGCTCAGGGAATAAATGATTGTGGAATACTCAGTCACAAATGGGACATCCATATCACATCCCCTCCCCCCAAACCTTAGGGACCATCAAGGAAGAGGGGACAGAAAGATTGTAAGAGATAGAGGTTGGGAGGACCGGAGTGAAACTGTCTTCTGGACCTGATAGGACCACTGCACTCACGAACTCAAAGCAGTTGTGCAGTTGTAGCTGCCTACAAAAGACCTGTGCAACATTAAGCCAGTCAACAGTCTAGCATGGAGTGGGGAGGGGCTCATGAGTCCTCACCTCTAACTAAGGAGCTATTCACAGTTGATGGCTGCTGGAGGAAGGAGAATCATTTGCTTTAAGGGTGCGGTCCCTTGTAGGTCAACCATGACCACACTCCAGTGGATGACCTCGCACTCATGAGTATACGGGCAATATAAACTGGACTTGGCAAGGGCTGGAGAGATGGCTCAGCAGGTAAGAGCACTGGCTGCTCTTGCAGAGGACCCAGGTTTGGTTCCTAGCACCCACATGGCGGCTAACAACCATCTGTAACTCTGGTTCCAGGGGATCCGATGTCTTCTTCTGAGTTCTGTAGGTGTTGCATGACCTGGGAGGACTTATACATATAAGCAATATGCTCATACACATAGACAAAAATAATAAAATATAAATTGGACTCGGTGGGCTATAAAAAAGACAAAACGGAGAGGAGGTGGATCTGGGAGAAGTTAGAAGGGGAGTGGACAAAATACATTGTATGCATATTTGAAATTCTCAAAGAATTTAAGAGGTATCTTCCTCGAAAGAGAAAAACTAACTCCCAAACGTGTCCTGTGAGTCCTGTGGCAGGCATGCACCTACAATCACATACATACATCATACACACCAGACCCCACTACACATATACATACCACATACATAAACAAAAGAATTGACTGCATCCAGATTAAAAAAAAAAACCACCACATATTATAAGGAAACTACAACTGATGCATTTACTGTCATGGCCCTTACTGATTGTAATATAACAAATACATTTAGGTGAAGTTTACAGAGACGTGCATAACATCACCAGGACAGTATCACATAGAGTCTGTTTGATAGATTTATGCCCAGAACATTTGTTACTTTCCAATATATACACAAGAAAGGAGTCTGAAATGCTTCATTAAATAGCAATGCATAACTATACTTATCTTTTAATCTTAGGCCCAAAAGATGTGTTTTTCAGGGCTTTGGTATTTGCTGATGTAAAATAAGATATAATGCTTCTATTCAAATAGCTATGTAGTCAATGAAGTTCAAGTTCATTTATAAAAGTGTTTTCAGCAATTCCTACCTTAATTTCGAGTACATTTTCATTGCCCATTGAGATCACCACCGGCCTTTCAAAAGGCTTAAACACAGGATTATGGACATAAATGAGATCAAAGTGTTTGGAAAAGATCCCGTCTAACATGAAAAAGGCTTTGGTCCTCAGGGGGAGTTGCAGGTTCAGCTGTTGCAGTGAAGGAGTGGTGCAGCAGATGATCTCTGAATTAGAGCGATGCTGACACGCCTACAGGAAGACAAAGTTACTGTCAGTGGGACACAGCCTGACAACAGCCACACAACTTCGGCATTTTGCAGCTTCAGAATCAACTAAGGTACATTGTCAAACATGTTCTGCATTTAACGCCTTGATGTTGAACTACACATTTCTGGAAACATGATAGCTGTCCAACTTTGTAAAGAACTCCATCTTCACAGGAACATAAAGCTTCACTTGCTAAGAATAAGTCATGGTGACGTAGCTTGATCTGGCCTTCATTCTGTCATGTAACTTTTCCTAGGACAACAGGTCTGTGTCCTGGATGAATGGCTCATTTTGTGATGAACAGGAGCTGGACTTCACGGAGTTAGAAGTTCTTGGTTCAGATCTCACATTTAAGCTGTGAGAACTGAGGCTAAGCCCTTTCTTAGAAACTCAGTTTCCTCACTTAGTAGTCATGATTAAAGTATTCTTCACAATGTGGGATACTTCATGGTAAAGTGCTTTGTAAATTGCAAAGCTCCATGTGGTTAGCAGCACAGCTAACAGTGTTTAGGGGATCTTAGTGTGTTTAAACTGTTACATGTTGAGTGCCAAAAAACTTTACAAATTCAGTCTCATTTACTGCTCCTGATAGTCCTACAGGTAAGTGCCATGTTATCTAGCTTACACATGAAGATAGAGAGCTCTGAAATTGCATTTTATGCAATCTGGTCACACATGTGCAGGGCAGAATAGGGCACTTATATCCAAGGCCATTAGCATCAATATTCACTGTCCTAATCCCTATGCCATACTTTTTGTTCACTATACAGCTTCTCCAAATAATGCTGTCTGTTTCACAAAGGCTCTGCTATTATTATTTCATGCCCTTTCATCTCTCATCCCAAATCTTCCTCTTTGAAATTCTGATTTATGGAATTTTGGAAAATGCAGTTTCCTCTTGATTGTACTTAGACTAAAACCAGCAACACAAAGTGGTATATTTAAGGTTAAGTGGCTGCGTTTCTCCCCCAAGGAAAAGACAAACAAGCAAAAACATCCCTTAGATTTCCTTTTCTTTGACAAGTATAGTTGGAGATAAAACAATTACTTATGCCCACAATAGCAAAAGACCTCAGGATATACATAAAAAGCACAGAATTTGCTCTTGGGTATTTTCTTCTTTACATAATTTAAAAAGTTATTTTATATTTTAAAAACTGTTGGAATCAAATAAGACTGAGAGATAAAACATGAATAATATATGACACTATCTAGTTTATGTCAAATTTAGTGTGACAATATTAAAAGCGATTTATTCCTATCAGCTTGATATTATTACTGCCATAATAACTCTCTGTTTAGTAGCAAGAACCTTGAAACTGAAAAATAAACTACAGGCTTCTGAGTTACAATGTGTATTAACAAATTAATATATATATTGTTAAGAAGTAATTATTTCTATTTTAAATGCTTTAAGTTTGTTGGACTTAAAATAGTTGGGGCTGGATCTACATATCTGGCTGAATCTATATATCTAAATAAGACCTGACCAGGGTTTTTATTTGTTAAATAATAAATGGATTCAATTCATCATGGTTGACTTCAAATTCCATAAGCAGCAGGGAACAGGGAAGAAGCGCCTATCTCTTTATGAGGCAGTATAATAGAGCAACAAATAGTGAAATAGTAAACAGTAAAAGAGATCCAAAAAAAAAAAAAAAAAAAAAACAAATAGTGAAATAGTAAACAGTAAAAGAGATCCAAAAAAAAGATCCCCTGGATTTTTTATTCCCGTCTAGTTCTACTGCACAGTTTTACTGTATATTGTGTTTGTGGCTCAAACAATAGAAGTTTGTATTTCCAGATATGTAAACGGCTAAGATTTTTCTCTTCGGCCACAGTTTGACTCTTCCTTGGTGTAGGTATTACTTGTATCTGACACCTGGAGGATTGCTAACAAAACTTTGATTATAAATAAATGACTGAAGCCAAGAATTGTTCTCTATGTGTCATCTTTCGGTGAGGGAGATGAAAGCAAGCTCAGCCATTATCTTAATAATGGAGGCTTGATCTTCATTAAACTATTTCTCAGACTTCAACTCTTAAAAAGTCACAAAACACCAAAGAGGGTTACTGTTATTTCTGTTTGGTTAAGAAAAAATTCTTGGTTGTGGAGAACTGATGTCTCCTAAATTAATAGCAGTGGTATTTTAACTTTGTTTGTGGCCATGTATGGGGATTGGCTTCAAGACCTTTTTCTTCCTGCTGTGACACCCCAGAGTACCATCTCTCGGGAATATGACGAGAATCTAATAATACTCGTTAGAAGAGATGTGATGTGGATGATTGAGAAGGTCAAGAGAAATCTCATTTGAGATGACCTCATTGTTTGGAGATTTAGTTTGACATTTTTAGTCCCAGATTGCTTTTGTAATTAAAGAACACAGTGGTTTTAGTCTTCAAGAAATATTGGATGGGGGAATTTCAAAGAAAGTGCTATAATTTAATCTATCACCTGTCCAATCAAGACTGTGTGGTGAGAGAGCACTTACAAGCTTAATTCTAAGTTGAGTGCCTATGTCCAACTAGATTGTGGCATTTGATAGCAGAAAAAAACTGTCAACAAAATGCACAAAATCTTTGGACATAATTCCAACCTTTCTGAAGTCTACATTAAAGTCACTGGTGGTTTGTTTGCTTGTTTTGGCTTTTTGAAACAGGGTTTCATATATCCCAGTCTGATCTTGAACTTGCTATATAGCTGCGGATGACCTTGGACTCCTGATCTTCCTGCCTCCACCTTCTAAATGTTGCCATGACAGGCATGTATCACCAAGACCAGCCTAAAGCTACCATTTTAATGTGATCTACTGAAGTTTTTAGAGCCCAAAATGGACCAATCACTTTTACGAATCAATTAAATTATGGTTGACCTTGCAAATAAAGTAAGGAAAGGTAGAGAAATGAAAAATATCATCCACATCTACGACATAATATAAACAGTTGAATGCTTTCCTTTTGTCACTCAATAGTAAGTGCTTTATTAACATTTGATAATGTGGTAATAAAGACAAGAAGAGTGTAAGGGCTGGAAGAAAGCCTCTATGCCTGCTGCTTTAGAAGGGGAAGGACACTACTGCAAGATCACAGGGTCACTGCCTAAGATACAGAAGAGTCAAGAAGACTGCTGTGATTTGTATTTGTGCCAGCTGTCTTGACAACTGCTGCCTCAAGCTGGGATCTTCATTTGTGTGTGTGTATGTGTGTTTGGATCAGCTCAAGGTTATACATCATTTTAGTTGTTGATTAAAAAAGAATTACCATTTGACCTATACTGCAGATTACCAGTGAGTATCACAAACCAAAATGTCCCTGTGCCCTGAAAGGAGGTGGCAGAGGCAGAGATCTGAGCATAACCATCACTCCAAGGACTTACCACTGTGTAGTTCCTTCCTGCTTCATGCACATTTATTACCAGCTTCGGGATGCCGACTGAATTCAGGTTTTTCCCAATACCTGTTATTGTGCTTCCACCACTGGCAAGATAAAATAGAAAAATGAGAGGCTGTCCCTCAAGCATTTAGAAGTTCAGTCTTATTAGACGCAATGATAACACGTTAGAGGATCAGGCGGAGATAAACAGAAGTTCAGGCCTAACTCTGCTATGGGACCTTGAAAATATATAATTTTTAAATTTGTATTTCATGAAATACAAATGCCCTGCTATTTTTATTGACCAAATACAGAGGTTTTTTTTTTTCTCTCTGAAAAAAATGCAAAGAAAAATGTACATGCCTATTGTTGCTATCTGCTGGAATTAACAGAAGCAGGACAGACTGAACTGAGGCCTGAGACACTGACCGAAGCGGAGTCTAGCAGAGGGAAAAGCTGTGTGAAGCCAGCGAAACCACACTGAGAAGAGAAGGAAGAAGAGAAAAGGAGACTCTACTGTCACGAACTGTGGCTCACCAGAACCCACAGGCACATAAGTGCTTACATACTATGGTACCATCTCAACTGTTTCCCCCTAATTTGTTTAAAGCATAATAGGATGGGATGAAATGCTTCTTGGCATGAGGTAGCACTAGATGGTCGAACTGTCCCCAGGACCTAAATGTAGTTTCCCAGTGAACTGGAAAGGTGCCTTCAAAAGAAACGCAACTAAGAAACAGCAACTAAGCCAGGGATAAAAATGCAATCTTCTAGGCCGTGCGTGGGGCGGGGCGAGGCGAGTCCGGGTAGCGGGAGGGAGGTCACAGTCTTGGCCCCATCCCAGTGCCTCCCCAGGGCCCCGAGGGTCCTGGGCAAGAAGAGAAACTAACCCTGAGTGTCCAATAAAGTTTTTGTAATTCTGAAAAAAAAAAAAAAAAGCAATCTTTTTGTTTATTCTACAGCCAAATCATCCTTCTGTCCTTCTTTTCTTATGCCTATCAGAAACTTTTACTTACCTAACAAAAGATTTGGTGGGGTGGATTTCATAGACAACGGGGTCTTCCCGGTAACTGAAGCTGCTTGTTTCTCGGTTAGCTAGGTCAATTTTCAACTTAACAGGAAACTCAGCAGAGATGGTTTGAGCTGGGGTATAACATTCAAGAATACTGTTTGACACACTGAACAACAAAAAAAAAAAAGAAAAACGGAAGAAACAAAGAGGTAAAAAGCAGATATTAGCTATATTATACATAATTTACAATTATATCCATAAATCAAATATAACTTGATGGCTCCTAAAGGGGGAATTTCCTGAGGGGGTCTAGAAGAGAAAAGCACTTTTCAGTGTAGGCTGTTTACATTTGATTAGATCCCAAACTCAGCCTTGTTGGCGGTCAAGCATCCTTCAAAGTACTTTTGCCACTTGAGTAAACAGTTCTTTCAACTAAGGAGAAACACAACCTCCTTCCAAGCCTAACCTCACCCATTTCTTCCCTACAAGTGACTTTTTCTAGTTTTCAATTTCAATAGAAATTCTTATTTTGATGTACTTTCAGTGACCAGAGCCTCAAGCTCATTGTATAACTAGGTAAGATTTATCACAATAAAAGGGTGGATGGCAAGACGAAACTCAGAAGGGGGATTAACCAATAAAAAGGGAAGGGTAGAAAGATTAGCAAGAGGGAGCAGATGGGTTGGGGAAGGTGAGAAGCTCATCATCAGGAGAGTAAATAATAAACACCTCAACTTCTCTCCATATATATCCAAAAAGAACGAACAGTTTGATTTGTTAGGTACAGGTGTTAATTCAACCTGGCAGATACAACAAAAACTGACAATACCTTTTTAAAGTACATGTTTTCCCACCAATCGAAATGTGTCTAGAATTCCCACTGTTTAGGTACTTTCCGGTCAGAGTGAGTAAAGTGCCTCCAGCCTGAGGACCGTAACTTGGAGAAATACTTGTTATTACAGGATCCTGAATGGGTGGCAAAAACAAAGCATCATCATTCTAAGTAGGACATAAAAACCAAATATCCTGGTCCATGAACAAAGTAAGGCTTAGACTTACTACGTAGGAAAATGTACTGTATTGTGTTGTTCCTCGGCTGTTTGAGATAATTATGGACATATTGAAGTGCTCACTCATCGTAGGACCAACTGTGCATTTCAACCTGAACAAAAAGAGAGTTTAATGTGCTACAAATCTACATTCATTTTCTGATTTGGCTGGCTGTTATATGGGACACTAACTCCAAATTGTGAGCTGATGACTCTGAGCATCAAGAAGTTCCAGGGAAGCATTAGGACTGAAAATGATGTAATTCTACTTTTTGAACTAGTATGCTAAACTTTATTTTGCCTTATTAGGAAACTTTAGGTCTCATCATTGCAGACTTCACCAGTTGAGAAGTGCATGATATCTTAAGCATATAAAATTATGTGGATGATGTTTGACAAAGAAATTGTGTCTCAGTAGCATATGAAGCAATGTGCTAGCTATGGATGAATCAAATCTCAAAGTATGCCAACAGGTATAATCTCTTTATGATTATAGTTGTCACATGTCTCTTTAACTTGCTTAAATAATAATAAAAAATTGTGTAGGTTTTCCATAGAATTATTATTATTATTCCTAATATTATTATTGTGTGTGGGGATGGGGAGAACTCAAGTGTGTGAAAGCTAGAGGTCATCCTTAGGTGTTGTTCCTCAAGAGCCGTCTACCTGGGTTTGAGACAGGACCTCTCACCGGGACCTGGAGCTTGCTGAGTAGGCTAGACAGTCTGGCCAGCAAGCCCTAGGAATCCTCCTGTTTCTGCCTCCCCAGTGCTGGGATTATAAGTATGTGCCACCACACTCAGCTTTATAGATGGGTGTCAGAGATTAAACTCAGGACCTCATACTTGTGTCACAAGCAACTGAGCCATCTCAGCCCTTCCCCGCAAACTATTTTTGAATTAGTAATCTTATAATTCTGAGAAAGTTTAAATATAATTTGGTTTACTAAATAACTTCTAAAAAGATAGAATGAATTTGTTTTATTTTTACAGATACTAATTTACATTACAATAATTAAGGGCTTTGCAGAAAAAGGGACATTTCTAGGGTGAACTGGTTTTGCCTTTGGGCTAGCAAGCATGACATTAATTGGTGTTTTACCATTAACTGGTAAAATGAATACAGTAAGATCTTTCATAACCCAGGAGTGAAATCTATTAGACAAAAACTAACTATTCTATAAAATAGGGCTAACCATAAAGATTCAACCATCAAAACTTTAGTTGTTGTTATTAGAACAGAACCAATCATTTCTGGATTACAGGTTCACTATGGAATTCAGGGCTTTTAGAAAGAATATGTAGAATACAGTAGGATAAGCACAGGCCTTGCAAGGGTCAGAGGCTGCCAGCTCTTACCAATTGCTTATTTTTGCTAAGCTGCAGTCTAGCTCTCTGAACTTCAGGCACTTCTTTTATAAAGTAAGAGTGGTACTGACACCCAGGAATTGGAGAATGCCCCATGAGCTATACAACCTGCATAGCACAGTGCCAATGCATGGTAGCTAAATGGAAATACAAGTTCATCCAAAAAGAGTGTCAAAAATGTGATTCAGTGGTTTTGAAGCAGAGTATCTATATTGAACTACTTACTGATTTTTTTTTCTGGGGGTCTTTTTGAGACAGGGTCTCCCTGTAGCCCCAGCTGAACTGGATCTCACTATGTAGACCAGGCTGGCCTTGAATTCACAGAGACCCGCCTGCCTCTGCCTCCCAAGTGCTGGGATTAAAGGCGTGTGCCACCACCCCTAGCCTGCTTACTGATTCTTATAGGAGTGGAAGATGATATTTGAAGACTCTGAAGAGGGTATGCCACTTTTTCAAATTACCCATCTAATTTCTGAAGGGTTTTTTTTACCTTAGTGGTTCTGGGGCTGACAAGAAGGCTCAGCAGGTAAAAGTGATTGTCATACAAGCCTAGTGACCTGAGTTTGAGCCCTGGAAAAACCAACTCCCAAAAGCTGTCCTCTGATTTCTGTGTGCCATGGTACATGTACAACTGTACTTACAGATACTACACACACACACACACACACACACACACACACACACACACACACACCACACAGGTAAAAATAAAATTCAACTCCAACTCTGTAAGAAAGAGTAAAACAAACTAACCAACCAAAAGAAGAAAATAACTCCTGGATACTGGCTTATCCTTTTCTTCACCTAGGACCTCTCACCGGGCCTCTCTCTTCAGTCTCTTGCACAAATGAGTTTACAAGAACAAAACCAAACAAATCTTCAAGTACTATGACAGGCCAAGACCCTTTTTCATTCATGAATGAACATTTCTCAGTAATTTTTAAAGATTTTTACAAACACTGATTCAAAAACAAAGCCCATCTTCCAAGCCCAGCCCAGCAAAGCACACTGAGCGCCTTACGTATTGGCCGTGCTCTCACTTAAGGACAAGGTGCAGCTCTCATTGCTGAGAAGAACTTTGGTCTTCCTTAAGTCAAATTTATTATTCTTCTTGAATCCAAAGTCCCAGCCACATATGGTCAGCATGGTCCCTCCTTCAAGGGGTGCACTAGTGGGTAAAACCTACAAGGACAACACAGAACTTAAAAAAATATCCAGTATGTTGTGATTTTTTTTTTTTCATATTGTGGAAAACAAACAAAACCAAACTAACTACATAATCCCTTTAAAAATATTTTTTATATATTTAAAATTTTCTCTGTATGTGTGCATGTTTTTGTGAGTGTCTGACATACGTGTGCCAGTACCACAAAGGCCAGGAGAGGACATCAGATCCCTGGAGTTCGGATTACAGGTTGCTGTCAGTCACCCAAAGTAGGTTTTGAAAATTGAGCTCAGGTCCATTGGAAGCACTCTGAACTGCTGAGCCACCTTTCCATTTTTAGAATATGTATTTTTAGCCGGGCATGGTGGCACATGCCTTTAACCCCATTACTTGGGAGGCAGAGGCAGGCGGATCTTTGTGAGTTCGAGGCCAGCCTAGTCTACATAGTGAGTTCCAGGACAGCTGGGGCCACAGGGAGACCCTGTCTCAAAAAGACCAAAAAATAAAAATAAAAATAAAAATAAATAAATAAATAAAATAAATAAAATGTATTTTTAAACAGTTCAAAATTCTTCCATTCTGCCATAATCCAGTAAAAATCATTTTTTTCTTAAAGTAAAAACCTCATGACTTCCTGAGCAGATGGAATGGACATTAAAGCTACCCGACATGCTGATGAAATGGCTGCTTCCAGGAGCTCCAGACATGGAACCAAGAATAGGCAGCCTGGATGGGACTGAGGGATCCTTGGGAGAACTCATATTCCAGGGCTCTGTGGGGAGGGGTGAACACAGCTTGGGTACAGACTCTTACTACCCTGTAGTTTTGATGGTAACTTCATACCAAACCGATCCAAACTCCTTCATGGGAACTATAAGCCAAGACCCGATATATACCCTCTCTGTGCCCAGCTGGGTATGTGTCACATGCTATAGTATTCTCCATACAGAGAAGAAAAAATACACAATAAAAATACCTCTTTACTATTCCTTGCTTTCTCAGTGGCATTCAGCAACTACTATGGTATATTCAATGTACAGGTGCCACTCATTCAGTCTCTCTCTCTCTCTCTCTCTCTCTCTCTCTCTCTCTCTCTCTCTCTCTCACACACACACACACACACACACAAACGCGCGA